TGTGATGGGTGCCTTGATCAGATCACCAAAAAACTAATAGTCATAGACCTGTTATGCTTGTAGACTTTGTTTTCTCAATGTGTAAAATTTTGATGCTCTCAAGAGGTATCATGTGATGTGTTTTCTTAAATTTAATGCACATCTTTAAAATTTGAAAGAAACAGTTCTGTTCTCCAAGTGTTATGAGGATCAGAATTATTTTTAGTTTATCCGTCATGCAATTCCAGACTTTTCTAGAATTATCTTATAATCTGTAATATTCCAGAAATATCTGTAATGTGACTCAGCAGTTTCCACAAATAGTAGATGTTGTAATACACTATAAATAGCAACCGAACGTTCTAGATGCTAAGAGAAAAGTATAAAAGCAGGCTTCCAAGTAACAGATGTCTGTGTGTGTGTGTGAGTGCCCGAGGGCTTTCCCTCGTGGCTAGCTGTGATTGAACTTATCAGCTATAGATGCTATGCTGTGAGAAAGCTATAATCATGCAACTGCGATAACTATGGAGGAGCTATAACCTTTGAAGAAAGAGGCGATAGCAGAAAAGAGAAGAAGATAAAATAGTTCATGATGAAGTTCCCCGTACGAGTTTGTGAATACGGAAAAGCCAATGAGTGGAAAGGATCCAGTGAATCAAGAAAGTCAAGCATTTTTGTCTCAAGTCAGTGGAACTGAGAGTTGTTCCTGTATGGCCATGAAAGACAGTAAGCCTGCCTGCTTTACGAACTGCTTAACTTAATCTTTAACCTAAGTAACTATAACAGTGTATAACTAAATAAACAATAGTTAAAAAGGGGTAACTGCTCGTTGTCACACTTTTCTTGCGTGCCTTATATCGTACTCGGGAGTTCTTTTCACTTATGCCTCGTTCGCGGACATCTCTTGGTTATTCCGGCACGTAACACAAGTATGATCAAATGACTTATATTAAGGCAACAAAGCACACAAGCAAAAGAAGTCTTTACAAGGTACAAATGACTGTTTGGGTTCATTTAAGTAGCAACTCGATACTTATCTTCACCATTTGTTTTCCAGTGCATATCTTTGGCCAGTTCAAATTGAGTGTCATTCATTTTTAGTGCAACTGTGTGTCCTCCTTTCACACTAGTATGAGTCTCTAACTTCCCTAAGTATTCCATCACCACGTTGTTTAACAGCGACAGTGAATGGTTGAAACACAGTATACCGTAATCTAACCGTAAATTAATGACCCAAGTCCATCACAGAAATCTGGTGGGAAATTAAAGTAAAAATTATGTTCAAAACAATACGACTGGGAATTCTAAAATAATTTGTTGTCCAAAACTTTAAAAAATATGTCACTCTTAGAGGCGCTAAATTCCTGGATGGTGCCATTTTGCTGACCTTGAGCAGCTTGCATTAATATTTTGCATGAATGTTATGTGATAAATATTATTTTATTAATGTTAAGCAGGCTAAACAAAATATTTTCAGTTACATCACATAATAATAACAGAAAAGTGAATCTTGAACCTTTAAGCCCCAATAATGACCTCCAATCAAGCAGAGGCCAAGAGATTACCAGTGGCTAAGATTCTTGATATTTCAGCAACCTCTGTATAGTGCAACTGGGAAAAATGTACACCTAAGAGCAGTTAAGGGAAATTTCATCACTGGGGCTTAAGGGGTGAAAAGCTAATATAACTACATGGCCGTACTGTTACTAATAACAAAGTTATTGCAGCCTTTTTCTTCTTAATTCGACCCTACTATAACGGCTTAGTTACTTGAAAGTCCCCTTTCATGTAGTAATTATTATCCGTAATTCTTGTGGCCAAATTCTTTCACCCATAGCAGATGAACTCATTATTGTCAATATTAAAATGCCTGTCACTATTATTTACTCATCATTAGAAATGTATGGAGTTGGGTATGCCTTTTTGGAGAGAAAGCTTGGGGATCACCAGTTCGACCTTATTGGGGCTCCCCAAATTCCTCAAAACAGGCTTTTTGCTCATTATTTCACTCGCCACAGACAGACAAAATGAAACATGAACTTATTAGCAGCATTGTTTCAGAGTCATGCAAACAGAGAGTAATATTTGCTACAGTGGCATTTGGCATGGGGGTCGACTCTCCTTGTGTTGAAAGGATAATTCATTTTGGTGTGCCACAAACTATAGAGAGTTTTTTTTCAAGAAAGAGGGAGAGCTGGAAGAGATGGGAGGCCTGCCACATCAACTCTTTCAACAACAATGATATTGGTGCAAATGTTGAAGGAATGCAACTGTTATGAGAGATTACGGTAAAAATCCTCAAAATGTCTGCAAAGGAAAAATTGTGCTTAGCCACTTTGGTTTTGACATTCCAAGTCCTTGAGACAAACACAGCTGCTGTAACATATGTCGAACTGACTGTGAGTGCTCTGAATGTGTTGAGCTACATCAAGATGTTTTGGCCCTTGAAAACATTCACATCCTTGATAATGAATTTCTTCTTTCTGGAAAACAGGTGAAAGATATAAAATCAGAGCTCATAAAATACAAAAAAGAAACTGTTTGAATTTAAGTATGTGTTCAGGATTAACAATGACAGTAATCGATGATGTTTGTTCAACACTTCAAGAACTCTGTTCTCTTGACAGAATTATGGAAAAACTACCGGTTTGGAGAAAAGAACATGCAGAAAAGATTGTACAGATTATAAGTAATGTCACATCCAAATAGGCTTAAAATCCTCCGTAAGAAAATCTGCAAAACATTAGGTACCATAAATAATTCTGATAATATTTTGTTGTGATAATTTAACTGAGGGAGCCCATTCCTTATAAGCCAAGTGGCTTCCCTTGGGCTTCCTCATCATTAGCTTTAAATACTTAAATTTTCTTGTTTTTTGTACATCCTAAAACTATAAATTGAACTGAAGTGAATTCCATTTTAAAGTTCCTCATTTTTAACACAGTCAGGGCTTCTGATATTTCGCGGAAAAAAAAGCAAAATTTCGCGGGATTTTCAGGGGCAAATTCGCGGAAAAATCGGCCGATTTCGCGGGATTTTCGCGGAAAAAAGTCAATATTCGCGGAAAAATCGGCCGATTTTGCAGAATTTTCGCGGGAGAAAAGTCAAATTTCGCAGAAAAACCGGCTGATTTCGCGGGATTTTAGCGGAAAAAGTCAAATTTCGAAGGATTTTCAGGGGCAAATTCTTAGAAAAATCGGCCGATTTCACGGGAAATTTCGTGGGGGGAAACTTCGCCAAGAAACAATCAGTAAAAAACGGCCGATTTCGCTGGATTTTTTTCGGTAAATTTCGCTAAAATCGATCAATTTTCCGTCGATATGACCAGCGTTGTTTAACGTTGTTTTAACAGGGATAATCATTTGCCCTTTCAACAACAGTTCGCTCGAGAAATGAGCGAATGCTAAAGCTATTAACATTATAGTTAGCGCCCAGTTTTTCGCAACATTAATCTAAGAACGCCTGGTAGTTTGGGGACGTTGTTTACTCGTTGCAGTGACGAAGTTTCAAGATAAATTTGGACGTTTGGGGTGATTAAAACAGGTCTAATAGCCAAGATAAGTATTAAATATCTCTTGCCGACATGTATTTGGAAATATTTCTGGGTAATTTCGCGGTATTTCGCGTTTTTTGGGGAATTTCGCGGGATTTCGCGGAAATACCTGAATTTCGCGGGTCTGCGACCGCGCGAAATATCAGAAGCCCTGCACAGTAGATGAGGAAATAACTCTACTTTTGTTATAACATGTGTACTTTACTTACTCATCTGCATGAGACGATTCAGATTCTTCATTTTCAGGAACTACAGATTGACCTCTTGCAAGCTGTCTTGTGATTTTCAAGCCAACGCAAGAATTCACCCAAGTCAATCTTCTCTCTTACACTCTTCAGCATATCAGGGAATGAAGGATGAGGCTCATGCATTGGGTTGCATTTGAATGGCCTTATAGCAACCTCAGATCCCCCAGCATAATGCTTTCATCTCTATCAGCACTTTTTTAGTGTGAGCAGTTGACGGTGGCTTGACATTTGGACTCTCATCAAAGGCATGCAGGGATTCACTGACTTCAGTGACTGCCATTGAGCTACGAAGCACAGCTAGCCTTCTCAGTTTTATTTGCCCCCATTGAAGTTATCAGATTTCTTGTGCTCTTGATGGTATGCTCCATTTCTAAATAATTTGGCATGTTGACTCCAATTATTATTGCCCCTTTCTTGTTGGTCCTTCTTCCCCAAATAACACGTTCGGACACCTGGTGGGTCAGCATCCACTTTACTGAAGTTAGGAGGTACATTCCTTCAGTTGCATACTTTGACAATTTGTTATTGGCTTTGAAAACCCACAAAAGGTATTTCCAATTAATAACATTTCTATCTCCATCACCTTCATGAATTGTGTCATTCAGTTGCATAAGAAGTATGAACAGTTCAATCAAAGAGAGGCCATAATTCTGGACTTTGCCATCGACTGTCACACCCAAGTGGAAAACATGGTAGTCAACAAACTTCCCAAGCACCTTATCAAAGTGTTCCTTCTTTGCCTCCAAGCTTACATTTTGTTCAGGCAAATTTTTTGTAGGCTCAATTTCAGTGTTTTCCTCACCAAAGAATTCTAGGAAAGCTTCCACTAAGTAAGCCCTTCCAACTGACACAAAGAACTCCTCATATGCATCAGGGTTGTTTTTGACAGTTGTTGGAACATTGTAGCACACAATACGCTCTCTAAAATACTTCAGTGTACCAATTTCACGTGTTGAATTCTGGTTCATCAGGACATCATTAATGAGCTGAAAATAAATACAAAACAATAATAATTATTGTTATGCAAATTACGTATTTTATTTTGCCAAGTAGAATCCAAACTCGACAATTGAAAAGTGGGCTATGAAATGTCCCTCAGCCTTTTTATTAGACTGCAAAACAGTCCATATTTTTGCGTATTCAAGTACGCGCGAGCAGTCAAACAAAAGTCTACCTTTTTATTCAATGTGTTAAGAACTGTTTTGTATAAAAGAGCTTTT